TGTGTGTGTGTGTGTGTGTGTGTGTGTGTGTGTGTGTGTGTGTGCAGTACCAGGTACTCGAACACCAGCGTGAGGGATTTCTGCGTGTGGATGATGTCATGAAGCGTCACGATGTTTGCGTGTTTCAAATCCTTCAACAGAGACACTGAGAGGACCAAGCACAAGTTTAAGGGACTTTAACCAGGTTTAATAAGAGTTTAACCAGGTTTAACATCAGTTTAACCGCGTTTAAGGGACTGTAACCTCAGATTAACTTAATTTAATAAGAGTTTAACCAGGATTAAACTCAGTTTAACCAGGTTTAACTGGGTTTAATAAGAGTTTAACTAGGTTTAACCTCATCTTAACCAGTTTTAATTAGAATTTAACCAGATTTAATATAGTTTAACTTGGTGTAATAAGAATTTAACGAGGTTTAACCTCAGTTTAACCTGGGTTTAAGGGACTTTAACATCAGTTGAACCAGTTTTAACCTCAGTTTAACCAGTTTTAATTAGAATTGAACCAAGTTTAACCTCAGTTCAACCTGTTTTAACATAGTGTAGCCATGTTTAGTAGAGTTTAACCAGGTTTAACCTCAGTTTAACCTGGTTTGATATAGTTTAACCGTGTCTAACAGAGTTTTACCAGGTTTAACTCTGGTTTAACAAGATTTAACAGAGTTTAACATGTTTTAACCAGGTGTTACCTCGGTTTAACCTCAGTTTAACCAGGTGTTACCTCGGTTTAACCTCAGTTTAACCAGGTGTTACCTCGGTTTAACCTGGTCTAACCTCGGTTAAACAGGGTATAACAGCCCCGTGTCTGTTAGCACTTCGGTACCTTCTCGGATCGCGGTGCACGGAGCTCCTTCTTCATGTTCCAGTCGGATTTCTTTCAGAGCCACCAGGTTTTCTGTCAGCTTGCTGCGGCCTTTGTAGACGGTGGCGTAAGTCCCCTGCAGACACAATTAAAACACATTTAAAACACCAGGGCAGCTCAGACTTTGCCTCTTTGGGCCCAGCTTTGGGGGCCCCATCGGGACCTGGATCAAGGCCAAGATTAAGCTACTTTACCTCTCCCAGTTTGTCCAGTTTGATGTACGTTTCCAGTTTCCCAAAACCAATCTCTGACTGTAGACAGGTAAAAAAAAAAAGCTTTAGACTTTCCCGTTCTGCTGCTTTGACCTCTGGCTTTAAGCAGGAACACGTACCAGAGACACCCTGCGCAGCCGCCTGCTGATTGGCTGATCAAATAGAGCTGGGCCAATGACGTTGAACTTCTCCAGATAGTCATCTGGAAGACGAATGTCAGCTGGTAATGACAAGCGTTTATTGATGTCCTGAGAAGCACAAAGAAAGAGAGAAAGAAAGAAAGTCTGATTCAGCTGGATTTTAACCCAAAATCCTTTAGCTTTAGAAGCTAAAGTTACTTCTTATTTGGATTCAACCCGAACCCAGCTCACAAAAACATAATTTTCCAGCTTCAGCTGAACCCCAACACAGCGAGCATAACTATGAATCTGGATCCTGACCCGGGTTTCAAAGCTGTCATAATTCAAATAACATAAGTTCAGCCTCAGCTTAACAGTGTTCCTACTCTACTACAATTACAGCCACTGTTCATAGTCTTATTGCTGTTATTACTGCTATCATTATCATTAGTATCAGTATCATTGCCATTTTTCATCCAGTCTATGTGTTACTGTGTAGGGTGCCTCTCTCTCTCTCTCTCTCTCTCTCTCGCACCCCCCACCCTGAGCCATGGTTCTGCTCCAGGTTTCTGCCTGTTAAAAGGCAGTTTTTCCTTCCCTGTGTCGCCTAGTGCTTTCTCTTGGTGGGAACTGTTGTTCTTCTGTAAATAACTTCAGCTCTGTTTGGAAAGCTGGGAGATAACTGTAGTTGGGACGTGGCGCTATAGAAATAAAGTTGAATTGAATTGTCTTCTCAGAAGCTTTTCATTTGAAGGGTTTTCTTTCCGTTTGATCTTGTTTTGCCTTTTCTGGCTGATGCCTCTGAGCTTTAGACCAATTCTGCCCTCAGACAGGACGAAGCCCTCCTGGATCTAGAGCGTTTCTGCGTTACCTCAGTGGAGATCTTCTTATTTCTCAGCCTGACTCGAACTGGACTGTGAACGTCATCTGAGGAGGAGCCCACATCGCTTTCTCCATCTGAGCTCATCTTCACGTCCTCGTGAACAATCTCTGCACACAGCAGCACACAGAGAACACCAACCTCCATCACCTTTCAGAACCATAATCACTTTAATATTCCCAGAGGGAAATTATTTAGGTCACAGCTTCCATGTATCAGGACAGACTGAACCCAAAGGTTCCCATCTAGAAACATTTGGCTATCATATCATATTATTTATATCATATTATGACATCATATTATTTATATAATCATAATCATGATTTCATGTTATTTATATCATCATATTATGATATCATATTCATATAATTATCATGACATCATTTTATTGAGATCATCCTAATCAAGATTTCATATTGTTGATATCATCATAACCATATATTATTGATTTCATCATATCATGACATCATATTATTGAGATCATCATATAGTAGTGATATCATCATAATCATATTATTGATACAATTCTAATCATGACACAATATAATTTATTTCACATCATGACATCATATTATTGATATCATCATAATCATGATTTAATGTTATTCATATCATCATAATTATGACATCATATTAATATAATTATCATGACATCATATTATTGACATCATCCTAATCAAGATTTCATATTATTGATATCACAATAATCATATATTATTGATTTCATCATTATCATGACATCATATTATTGATATTATCATAATCATAACTTTATATTATTTATATAATCATGATTAAGATATATTAGTATAATTATCATGACATATTTTTATTGAGATAATCCTAATCAAGATTTCATATTGTTGATATGATCATAATCATATATTCATGACATCATATTATAGATATCATCATAATCATATATTTATGTTATTTATATCATCATAATTATGACATCATATTGATCCAATTATCATGACATCATCTTATTGAGAGCATCATATTGTTGATATCACAATAATCATATATTATTGATTTCATCATATCATGACATCATATTATTGATATCACATCATGACATCATATTATTGATATCACATCATGACATCATATTGTAGATTGTGTACTGTGTGTGTGTACCCAGCCTGGCGGCGTGGTTCAGGTAGGAGCTCAGGCTGCGTCCGAGGCCTCGAGGTTTCCTCAGAGAGCTGCTGTAGGAGTGCAGCCGCGCCTGAACGGAGGAGGAGGAGGGACGCACCTTCTGGCCTCCAGCACGGAGGGACGGCATCTCTGAGAGAGGGAGGGGGGAGGGAGGGGGGAGGGGGGCAGGAGGAGGGAGGACAGGAGGGGGGAGGACAGAAGGAGGGAGGACAGAAGGAGGGGGGACAGAAGGAGGGAGGACATAAGGAGGGTGGACAGAAGGAGGCAGGACAGAAGGAGGGAGGACAGAAGGAGGCAGGACGAATGACAGAAAGAGGGAGGACAGAATGAGGGAGGACACGAGGAGGGAGGACGGAGGGAGGGAGGACAGAAGTAGGGAGGACAGAAGGAGGCAGGACAGAAGGAGGGAGGACAGAAGGAGGGAAGATAGAAGGAGGGAGGAGAGAAGGAGGGAGGACAGAAGGGAGGAGGATAGAAGGAGGCAGGATAGAAGGAGGCAGGACAGAAGGAAGGAGGATAGAAGGAGGGAGGACAGAAGGAGGGAGGACAGAAGGAGGCAGGACAGAAGTAGGGAGGACAGAAGGAGGGAAGATAGAAGGAGGGAGGACAGGAGGGAAGATAG